TTCTCATTCTCATTCTCAATCTTCATTTCAACCACACGTTCTTCAAATAAAAAAATATTAAACACAAATCAAAAACTTTTCATCACTTTTCCACCACACATTCTCACATCAATCACTATTCCAAAATTTCTATTCTCCTCAAAATTAGATTCAAACACACCCATAGTGTCTTCTTGCAAATGAAATCAGATACTGGCTTATTGCAATTGGTTTTAATATATTTGCATGGATATCTTGGCAAGTCGATTTGTAAAATATCAGTGGCAAGTCGGTTTCATTAAAATTGAAAAGTCAATCTTATATATGCATGGAACACACAGGATATTTTATAGTCGGTTGATAATCACTGCAACACCATAGCATGGAAGAAGCACGATATTTTATAGCCGGTTGGATTGTAGAGAAGCCAGTTGTACTGTAGAAAAATCAATTATAATGTGAAAACTCACGTAAAAAAAAAAGAACAGTGATGCTCCGCACAGTGTGGAGCATTCACTCTGCACTGCACGGAGTGATGCTCCGCATTTGTGCAGATCATTCACTCCGTATAGTGCGAAATGTCAACTCTAGATTTTTTTATTTTTTATTTTGGAAAAGTCAACAATTGTAGGCATGTGGTAGGAAGAAGTCCAAATCACCCTTGAACCTTATATGAATAGTAAAGGATGAATTGGGATTAAAAAAAAAAAACTCCAAAAAATCAACAGTAAATAACGGGGATAAAATGAGAAAAAAATTAATTAGTGGGAATATAATGAGAATGGAAAATGCTTCAAAATGAACAGTATTCAATGGATTGGCTCTTTTATTATAGTAGGGAATATTATTGAGACTTAAAAACCTGGTGCAAAAAAAAAAAAAGGAAAAAAAAATGTTATCTTTTTTAAGCTAAAAATAATGTTTTAATCTACACCAAGATTAAAAATTATTTAAAAAAGAAAAGAAAAGAAAAACGATAACATGGCAAAACCAGAATGAAACAAATTACTAACACCATTTATCTGTAAATATAGAGTACAAAGGACTAAACGTGTAGGAGAGATGGGAGTTGCTACTTGGTCATTCAAGTTCAACAAAACACTAAACAAGCAGTTTGTCAGGATTTCATTTTCTATAATTCTGATGACATCCCTCTCTTATACAGTGATGTAAAATATCTTATCGGGAGACGACAGTTCAGACCCGAGCTCTATATTTTTTTTTGAAAAGTCAACAATTGTAGGTATGTGGTAGGAATAAGTCTAAATCACCCTGAAACCTTATATGAATAGTAAAGGATGAATTGGGATTTTAAAAAAAAAGCTCCAAAAAATCAACAGTAAATAACGGGGATGAAATGAGAAAAAAATTAATTAGTGGGGATATAATGAGAATGGAAAATGCTTCAAAATGATCAGTATTCAACGTATTGGCTCTTTTATTATAGTAGGGAATATTATTGAGACTTAAAAACCTGGTGCAAAAAAAAAGGAAAAAAAAAAAAAGAAAATGTTATCTTTTTTAAGCTAAAAATAATGTTTTAATCTACACCAAGATTAAAAATTATTTAAAAAAGAAAAGAAAAACGATAACATGGCAAAACCAGAATGAAACAAATTACTAACACCATTTATCTGTAAATATAGAGTACAAAGGACTAAACGTGTAGGAGAAATGGGAGTTGCTACTTGGTCATTCAAGTTCAACAAAACACTAAACAAGCAGTTTGTCAGGATTTCATTTTCTATAATTCTGATGACATCCCTCTCTTATACAGTTATGGAAAATATCTTATCGGGACTGCTGTCAAGTCTGGGCTCGAGATAATCACAAGAACGAGCTGAAGCAAAATTGTTTCGACTTGCGACATTCTCTTTAGCAATTTATAACACGGTGCTCTGTCGTAGACTGGCAGTCGTTTCAGTGAGTGAACCCAAAATGGTTTCACCAACCTCGGCTTTGCAAAGTGGACACGAGGCATTGATCTTTAGCCATTTATCCACACATTCCTTGTGAAAGAAATGAGAGCAAGGCAATTCCCGGAGTTCATCGTTGTTCACATACTTCGCCAAGCAAATGCAGCAAACCTGTGTCGCAAAATAAAAATTTATTAAAATAGAAACTGTGATCTCAAATCCAATTCCCCTCAAGGCCAGAAATCAGAATACTTGTCCAGTCTAACCCTAAAATAACCTCTGTTATAATTAAGGCTACTTACAAGAATTTGGAGTTCAACAAGGATATTTATGGGTAAAAACACTGTCAATCTACTTATAGCCAATTTTCACGTTAGCACCTAACTTTATTGTGTTTCAAAGTAGTCACTTTAAGTGTCACTAAGCATCTATTTGATTTATACAGGAACAGGACGGGGAAGACATCCATGCAGATGCCACGTTATATTGCCATCTTCTATATCAGAGATTTTTGTAACGGATTTTAACTGAATAACAAAAATGAAACAAAAGGCAAATTCAGTGATCAATTCTCGAACAAAATAAAGTTTGATGACTAACATGGAAATTGACTGACTAACAGTGTTTTTAACCTGGAAATTTATAGCAATCAAAGTGACAAAGGCATTTCTTTGAGTGCAGGCCAAAAAGTTTCATCTCAGACACTGAGATTCCAATTTAGCGCAGACAAATCAAATAAACAGTGTTTTAGAAAATTGATGACATCAAAGCCTCGTACACAAAGCCCTTAATATGTGTGTTTTTGTGTGTGTCAACTTTTGTAAGCAGATTAAAAACCACGATGATGTTTCATAAATTAGATCCAAATATGGTGTACACAAGTTCTCATAAAGACAGTCAAACAACCCCACCCAACCAAAAAGCCTACTTTCTTTATTGACTTAATAGTGAATATCTTTCTAAAATGGCAGGAAGTGGAGAACAGCTCCAGAGACCTACCGTTGCATTCATCTTTATATAATGTTTCTTTCCCCTTCCTTCTTCCCCAGCCCAACAAATCGAGAAAAATACACACGATGAACATCAAAAGTACACAAGTAATGAAATCAGTTGAAGAACTTTTAATTTATTTGCTCTTGCCAATAAGAACTGGTACCAGCACACAACAAAGACCATCATAAACGACTTAAAACACATTGGTGGTCGAACTTTTAGAGAAATTTCACGTTGGTCACTAACTTCATTTTGTCTCTAAAGTTGGTCATTGATACTTTCTTACAGTTTGATGACTCCATCCAAGATCACTGAAGGAAATTGTGGCAGTCTATTTGTTTGTCAACGAGTGCCAACTAGACTGTCACGTCAGCTTTTCTGACAATCAAACTAAAGGGCGTGGACAATATCACCAACTAGTAATGAATATTTAAGTTAAGCGATCCAATTGTAACAAAGTTTAAGTTCAATAACCAACTTAAAGAATGAAGATTAGTGACTAATACTAAATTTCACTAAAAGTTAGAGACAATGGTGTTTTTAACCCACCATCATAAACTTCAAATGTGATTTAATAAAAGGCAGGTTGATTGTGCAACCCTTGCTCTGATACGATAAAAGAATGGGACAGGAAGGGTATCTGTTGTGTGAACTGACTACAAACATAAGTTTTGACATTCATATTCATCAAAAAATCCAAAATTCCGGGATCAGATAGGAAATGAAGTTTACCGCATCCTCTCCTGATACCACGCGCTCTTTCTCTGTTCCAGCAGCCACTATTCCAGCTTCATCTGTGGCTGAGTTACTCTCCTTGTTGCTATTCTTGTTCTTCTTCACTTTAAACTTATAAGTTGGCAGTGAATTAATTGATTCTTGTGTGGCTCCTCTATTTTGAGCCAAATCCTCTCTGAAACCCAGGACTGAAATTATACAGGGGAGGCAGCAGCAGATCGTTGCGCACAGAATGAAAGGCATTGCATATCCAATACAGCTAAAGGTAAGAAACACTATACACAACCTGCAAGTGAAGCAACATGAATTAAATTGAGCACAGTAAATAAGAATCTGATTGAAATCTAATGTGTGTATTATGTGACCACCTATTAAATTTACCTGTACAAATTGGGAGCCTCAGTGGAAGACGAGTGCCCTCCAAAAATCCACACATTGCCAACCACAAACCACACTGCAAAGAAACAATCTAAACCCATCTTGAAGTATTCCACAAGTGCCCTAAGTCTGCAATATAAAAACCAGGCTATTTAGCTCTCACCTTTTTATTGCATGTGTTATCCACTACGACAAAAGAATTATGATTCCAAGCCAAATGTTCTGTAAAGAGCAATAAAGTCGAGCAATGCAGGAAAGCGGTTAAAGCGGCATTTAATGCACCAATTGATTGTTTGGGAGATCGCAGTGCAGATTTTTCTCAACAAAAAGACACAGATAAATAAAGAAGTTTAGTCAAACAAAAGCAAATATGAGACTAGTCGAAGTTCTTTTATTTTTCCCCTCTTATTCACAGTCAGATTAAAAAGGACAATCTAGGTCTTATGTCTCCACTCTCCAGTTATGCTTAACCTACAACCTTAACATTCAAAGTACTCCTCCATAATTCTACTTAAGATTTATGCATTTTTATTCCAATATAATGAATTGAGCATCTGGACCAACTGATGTTGAAGAGTCAGCTGACGAGTTGGTGTCCCGCATATTAGCCTCATTGTCAACAACAAATAACAACCACCAAGAGACCTCATCTTGGATGTATCTTGCTAGCTCATCCATGATTAGAATAAATAGATTAGGACTCAAGCAAAACCCACATGCAGCCAAGTATGCAGTCATAGGAAACTCTATACTTCTTTTTTTGGTACATAGAAAGAACTTTACTACTACCCCAACTGGATCTCACACTCATTGTTCCTAAAACTTACATATTCTTAATGATGTTGATTTATCTAATAAAAACTCCATTTCTTTCTATAACTTCTCTTTCACTTTAACCCAATAGTACTCTTTAAAGGTTTTTATTTATCAAACTTATACCACTCAAAAGCCTCAACATTACTATATCTTGGAAATTGTCTAGAAATTTTCTTTTCAGACTTAACTTCGCATCTAAACCTTTTCATTCCACCACAATGTTTCCGTATCTGGTAGGCTTCTGTTACTCTCATGATACCTCCTTTGTTATGTTTCTAATATCCACTTCTTTCCACGTCATGTTACTATCTCCTTTTATATTCCTTCTCATTCCTTCATTACTCTTTCCTTGAAATATACATTTATTTCATCCAAAAGGTCCTGCCATTTTGTTCTATGGACTCAAACCTTTCTGGTAATTCTTTTCCATAGCTGAATGAAACCATCAAATACTACTAACTTAGAATAGTTAAGCTCTTACATGAGTATCGCAGCAATCGAAAAGCAATCAATTTAACTAAATTTTTGTATAATACTAGTTATCAAGTAATTTTCTTTTTTTAACACGTAGTTTCTAACACCAAAAAATTATCCCGAAGTACAAAATGGTATTACGATCTTTCGATCTTGAATGTCAAAAGACAAACTTTCATATAATTTTTTGTTTCCCTATTGCTTTTCTTTATTTGACCACTCAAATCTCCACCAATAAAGATCTTAAATAGGAATAGCATAAGTTAACTGATCATTAAGTTCTCAAAAACGTTGCTTTGATTCCTTATCTAGTCCCTGTTTGGAATCCATTTTAATTTAATGCATTTTTCTCTTTCTTCATTTTCAACCACACATTCTTCAATAAAATAATATTACACATAAACCCAAAAAATTTCCTACTTTTTAACCACAAATTCTTTAAAAAAAAAATTACTATTCCAAAATACATTTTTCCCACAACCTTATTAAAATCATTAATATCATTCAAGAATGTACAAATAGCATAATTCCAATTCTAAATACATATTTCTATCTTATATTTTTTACCACATTCTTCAATAAAAAAATATTACACATAAACCCAAAAAATTTCCTACTTTTTAACCACAAATTCTTAAAAAAAAAAAAATTACTATTCCAAAATACATTTTTCCCACAACCTCATTAAAATGGAGCCCAATCAAGGGCCTAATGTTATTCCCATAACATACACACTAATCACATTAATTGACTCTTGCAAGGTAATTTTATCACTTGGGAGCCAAGAATGTGTCATACCAGCAGATTATTCATGAGAATACGTCCATCGAAATATCCTTTAGTTTTTAAGTCGACCATGCTTCAACCATGGAGACTCAGATCATTAGCGGCAACGTTATGAAACAGCGCAAAGACAGAATTAAGTAATTTAATTAATCATTTTCACTACTTCAACTAACTTTCCTTTTCAGCCAAAGTTAAGTTTCTTAGTAGTTATCTTAGAATTACCCTCAAAGGAAGTAACAATAGATCTACATTTTCAATGAGGACCAATAAGTTTATACTAAATAAGTCTAATGATAAACCCGTATCGATTCCAACAACAGAGGAGAAAATGTTATGCATAACTAATCACTATTTCTCATTCTTTGTACACTAGAATGCAACTAAATGACCATTATATGAATATTATCTTTTCCAGCATCATGTTCAAAATATTAATTGAAGTATGATTTTAACTATTATTTGTTCATTCAAAGTAACACTTGTGATTAATCAGTTGTCTTCAAGTGCATACTCATTTAAAAAAGTATCTAGGAGCCTGTTTGAGCCCTATTTTTTTTTTTATGAAAATGCATTTTGGAATAGTATTTTGATAGAGAATGTGTAATTAAAAAATAAGGAAACATTTTGGATTTGCGTGTATTATTATTTTATTGAAGAATGTGTTGTTGAAAATAAAAGAGAGAAAAATGTATTTTGGAAATAATGGGAACCAAATAGGGGCTAGGTTACGAAACCCTAATATCTCCATGGAGCATATCTGCATGCCATCGTTGCAAGTATAATATTTTACTTTTTCTTTATATTAGTTTTATTATACAATAAACAAAAGCATGCATCCCTTATTCAAGCCTATACTACAATCATATGAACATGATCCACAACTCTGAAAGAAGGTCTTGATTGTGAATCCACATAAAAGAGCCAGTATGGCAGACTCCAAATTTATATTTCAATTAGATAACAAGCACAAGACATATAAAACCATTATGTTCTTGTAATGTAGTAAAATTGTGATACGAAAAAAGGAATTTGGGTTTCTACGTAAAAAGAACGAAACATGGCAAACCTTGGTGAAACATTTGGACCACCACTAGACGTCGTACCAGTTGTCTGATGATCTTCTCCCTCAGAAATTCTTCTACTTGAAGGGCCTGCAGAGAAGTTGTTCTGAGATGAATCCTGCACGTGCTGAGTTGGATCCTGTTCAGAACCACGGTTTCGATAGCGAAATCGCCAATATAGAAGAGGAAGGATGGCTACACAACCAGATGCATAACCCACAACCCACACTTTCAAAGGAGCATGTGGATGTTCGTGCCTTGACAAAGATAGCACAACAATAGCTGCAATAATTTGGCTCACTGTTAATACTAGCTCGACAGATATCCATAACCCAGAATTTAATGGGCTCCTTCGGCGGCCACGCCCATTTCCCCTCTGAGCAAGTGATGAGTTCCTTGAGTTTGATGTAGTCGCAGAAAAAAGTGGAGGCTGGTAAACTGGAACCCTTGCTCTAGTAGATGGCTGATTACCGTTTTGAAGCTGCTCTATGCCACGAGATGTCCGATCATGAGATGAGGTAGATGAGGAAGCATCACTACTACTTGTTATTTCAATAACATGCTCATCATGGATATGGTCATTGGGTTGCTCCATTAACAAGGGAAAGTTGTCGGTGTTGTTTTCACAATGAAATCCCGGTACAGGAAAACCCATGTAAGTCCTCCGACCATAAACTATGCATAGAAAACATGAGGTGGCAAACTAGTAAAACTTTAATTGGCCCTTTCTGTAAAGTACAAAAAGTAAATGCATAATCATGTACGCTCACCGAGTGTTTAACGCAGACACGTGCTAACCACCGGATATTTTCCCACTCTGTTCAAATCACAGAAGGCAAGGATATTAGAATCGTAATGATTTTATTTCCCCACTTCAAAAGCACGGCCCTCTCTTCATTTCAAGGGGAGAACAAAGATTGAAATGGACGCAACAAGAATGAAGCGGATTTTAACTTTTCCATCTGCTTGTAACTTTTTTCAAGTAAACCATAGATAATATAAACTCTTTCATTTATCACAGATTCTCCAGCAAGAAAAAACTAACTACAACGAAATAATATTATAGTACTTTAACTAAAGTTTTAACACACCTAGTGATAAAATCTCTTCGTCAAACATAACTTATCAAAAATAAAATTCAAAATCTTAAACTCACTATATACTAACAAAGAAAAAAAAATTATGTGCGTGCAAAAAATTCTATCATTAGCGCAAAACACAACAGAAATTGAAAGCATGCTAACAATTCTCAAAGGCTATAAATAAAAATTATGGAAATAGAAAATAATTCAAATGAGAAATACGAAAACTCAAGTAGTTAAACTCAGTTCCAATTCTATTATCAACCCTAAATCCAAACCTCCAGAAATCTAAACAGTTGACTATATCCCCAAAAACAACCCCACAAAAAAATTAAAAGTAAAAATAATCCAACAAAATCTTGAAACTATTAGCTAAAAATCAAAACTCAATCCAATTAAATCGAACCCAAAAAATCTCAAAATCAAAACAATCGACATTAACGAGAATAATCAACGAAACATTAAATAATTACAACACAAGTGATTAAAATCTGCGTACAGGTATTAGAAATATTGTTACTGACCAATGAGACTACAACTGAGGGTTGATGAGAGGAAAATCAGAGGAAGTTTCGGTGAATGAAAAATCAGAATCAGTACAGGGATTTTACTTTATTATTCACGCCTTTTTCTTATTTATTTACTTGTTGAAAGGATTTTTTTTGTTGGTGTGTGTTCGTGCGTGTTTATTGCGTCAGCGGTCAGCTGAATGAAGCAATATTTTGCTTGGCTTTGTCATTTTAGAATATGCTATCTATCAGAAATTTACAAGGTCAAATTGCATCCATGGTCCTCATTCTATTGAAAATATACAATTAGGTCTCTAACCTATTCCTTTGACGGCCGCGATTCTCAACTTTTCATTTCACTCTTATTTTTAATTAAAAGGTTAATTTTTGTTTAAAAGCTATTTTACCTTTATTTTTAATTAAACAAGAAAATTAATAACAAGAAGATTGCTGCAAAAAAAAAAATGTAAGAGTTTGATAGTAAAAGGAAGGTTTTCTCTTTTCTCAGTGTTTACGGTAGGAAAATGGATAAAGTGTTCATTTTTAAAGATGCATTTGGAAAAATGGCCAACAGTTATAACTTTTGGATCAATAGCCATTCTTGAAAAATAGATGAAAATGCCCTTAAAATTTACCCATATTACAAACTAAACCCCAAAATCCATGTTGTCCCCTTCTTCCGCCCATCCCATCCCATCCTATCCCATCGCATCCCGACCCACCTCTATCCACTAGCAATCACTATTGTCGATTTCGAATTCGAGTTCATGCAATTTCTAGTGGGAGGTCGATACCTAGACTTGGGTAAATTAAGTATGAGGGCAGTGGGTTTTGCTGCTCTTACACTAAATTTCAATTCCAAGACTTAAAACTAAGATTTTTCATAATTTTGTACAAGATTTTGAAAAAAAAATTCTTATAATTTTAAATTTTGCCCCCACAATTAAAATTTTGTGAAATTTGCCCCACAACTCTTTTATTCTAATTCTGTCGTTGCACCTAGAGGAATTTGGAATCTAGTTCATGCAGTTTCTTCTGCAAAATGTTAGATCTTTTAGACAATTTTGTATTACTTCTGCATAGGTTTTACATTATTTTCTGTAAATCCACTATATATTTCACCGACATCTCCAGCCCATTTCGTCGGCATTTTTGTGTTGTCTCTGTCGCCTCATTTTATGGGAGAAGAAGACTCATTCATCTATGAAGAAGACTGATCTGAGTCTCGATATTTGATTGTAGAGTTTAACATTTCATTATCGAGATCTAAGTTTTCTCTACATTTGATTGTCGAGATCTAAGTTCTCACGACTTTTGTTTGTCAAGTTATGTCTTGAGTTTCTCAACATTTGACGGGCGATACTGAGAGTTTCAGGGTGATCTTTGAGACCAGTGACTGATGAAAAAGTTGGGAAAAACAAAGATAAATTTGCAGAAATAAAGCCTTGCTCCATCATCATGGAGACAATTGGTTGTTGATTTCTTGATGAAGATTTTTGGCTAATGTCGTGGCTTGCAATGATGCTGGTTGTTGTTGGTTTCTTGAAGAATATTTTTGGTCAGTGTCAACACCAACACCAGCTACTGGTGGTGGATGTGGAGATAGTGGTTTGGTACATGAAAAATGGTCATATTTGCAAATGTTTTGAAAATTTCCATTTTTAAAAACACACTTTACATTATGATTATATATGACTTTCTTTCTTTTTTATTTACACAATAAGTGACATCCATGATGACGCGTTCCCAACATAATAGTTTTGTGCTCAACTTTAGTTCAAAAACTAGATAGTTAACTGAAAGTTGTAGTCCATATCTAATATAGTGGTCTTGACGAGTTCTCTTTTCGTTTTGTTACTAATTAATTTTTTATTCTATCATATATGAGGATAAGTATATCTGACAAAATTGGAGTTTTTAATCAAAAATATGGGTAAAATTGTCTTTTATCTACCTAATCTCTATGATAGTGAAAAGATTCAAGACAATGGCCACATAAAAAAAATAGATCATGGACAATTATTACTAGATTGGGACTTGAGATGTAATTTTTCCCAAACCATAAATGAAGATTTTGACGTTTTAATATACACCAATCAATGCGTTATGTACCACCTCATTATAGTTGGCCTTTGGGTAAGTCGGGGTTGTATATGAACTTCAATCATACTACATGTACATCATTATTTACATAGTACTACGCGACAACATACCATTGAATAATTTAAAAAAAAAAAAACTTTTCTCGTTTACAATTTTTTGAAAACAAATGGGATACATTCTCAATGTAAGAGAATGAATGTACATCTAACATTATCGTGAACTTTACCCTTGCAATCAGTCCGTTGAATTTTAATTCAGAGCTATCATATCAATGCACTTTAATTTACTCGCAATAGCATCACTCTATTAGTCTTCCGATCGACCACTTAAAATAATTGTTGACATGGGCAATAAAAGTAACGAAATCTCCATGCGATCTGTCAAGTTAGCAAGGTAAAATTCACCCACGGTTATTGAACTTTAAACTTAGTTGCAATTAAATCATTAAACTTTTAACTCGTGACAATTACACCACTGGACTTTAATTCGAATATTCTAAAAAAGGTATTTTGAATATTTATATATTATAATTATTTTATTATTGTTATTATTATATAAATAAAATGATGCATACTAAACAATTAAAATCATAAATAGTATAACTACTTAATATTTTCTACAACTATATATATTTGATGAAAAATCTGTTATTTTTCAAAATTAATTATATATATATAGACAAAAATCACTTACTAAATCTGGTTGCAATTAATTTTTATCATGTCTACTTCTAATATGAACAGAAAATGAGACAAAAGGATTGTGTGTGTGTGTGTGTGTGTATATATCTTGAAAAATAACATATTTTTATCAAATTTTTTGGGTATATTTATATATTAATTGCTTAATCTTTTCATGTTCTTAAGTTGGAAGTGTTTAGTTAGAAACTTTGAAATTATATATTTTTTGAAATCATGAAAACTGTCTAATTGTATAAATTATTAAGTAACTGTAATATTTACGATTTAGTTTTTGACATGCATTATTTTATTTACTTATTGGTATTAGAATAATTAAAATGTACTAAAAATTAAAAAGTACGTTTTTAGACGCTCGAAATTAAAGTTCAGTAGTGTGATGACCCTGATTTAGAAGTTTAGTGATTTGATGCTTAAACACATTGAGAGTTTACAGTAAAGGGGAGCACATGCATATTTGTTTGAATTCAGTTTCGCTAAATTAAGTTTTTGATGTTTTACAGTGTTAATGTTTCGTTTTGGTATGTTGAGTTGCATTGATGCTGTGTCTTAATTTAGATTGTGATTTAAAACTGAAAAATATTCTATTCGAGTTACAATTGCTTAAATGACATCTACAAGTGAACTGTTTGAACTGTGATTATCTTTGATACCGTTTTCCACACATTTTATACTG